CAATATATTATAACACTACAACATGCCCTGTTGCTGTAGCACTCTGCTCCTTAAACCAGTCCTTATTCAGCCGGTCAAGGCACGTTCAAGGCGCTGGACTTGATATTGTATTGTAACTAATACGGGGAACTAGTATAGCATTACGATTGTTTTGGCAGTGATGCTATCGATAACTTCTTTACATTACTTATTCATTCACATCATTGATTCATATTAGTACTCTAAACTCGTCAATAACATCGGATCTACATTTTTTTTTGTTAATAGGTAGTTTAAATAAATATCGGTTGTGTTTGGTGTTACCATTTCGTGGCTTCAAGCAGAAAATATATAACGGCTACCAGCCTACACATAAACATCGTTAATTTGCTTTTTTAATAGGATGAATCCATAATAATTACAAACAAATGTTGCTTCTGCTTCAGACGGTTCATTCGATTCGAGGAAGCCAAAAATAATAATAACCACTGAAAATATTAAATTAGCACAGTTTGTTCCACATTGAGTTCGTCGTTTTCGTACGATCCGTTTTTAAATTCAACAGTTTTTAAAGAATGTGCGTTCCATATGCTCAGCGTGTTGTGAATTTGTGTGTGCCTAAAATCTTACATAACTAGTATCTACACAGCCTCGAAATCTAGAGCCTGAGTTTCTGATAACTGGTTTCTAAGTCCTAACATAAGCCCTTTTGATATTATGTTATTTAACTTCAGTAATTTTGCTAGCCTTATTCAATGATTGTTTGTGGTTTCAACATTATTTATAACCGATATTTCAAAAATAATTTAGAACCCATTAACATAAAAATATAATTCAAATCAGAAAGAAATGACATTCGTATTTTTTCGAACCCTATTATATACAGCGGTATTACGAATGGGGATTAGAAATGATAACTGCGTAGATTTGATTTAGACATGCGATCAAAGTTTTATTGCTCAAGTCAATTAAGGTGTCGTAGTGCGTTTTGATTGAGAGTTAGAAACTTAATAATAATATACCTAGTAGAGAATTTATAACAGTGAAACTTGGCACTGCAGTTCAGTGGAGTAGAACTAATCTTTATTTAATTTATTACCGTCTATTATCTATTTAGTACTAAGGTATCTATATTTTCATTAGAGTAAATATATGAGTACAGACACTTAACAATAAAAATAAAAAGATTATCAAACTAGCCATTATCTGTAAATCAATTATCGTATGTCGGACGCACTGAAGTGGTTATATTTAGAATTAAAAAAAAGCAAACGATTAAACGTCATAATAATAAACCCAAAACTTTTTTAAAATGTTTGCCACAAATAATTTTGCGTTCTAACCAGTAACAAGTTAAACTAAAGCGAAGTTAAAGTATGGTGTTCTAGTTTCTATCGCTTACTTTATCGATTTTTCCCTCCACTTCGCATAATGGTGTGTCGCTACATAAGTCTATGTATACGTAAGTCACAATTCAACTGGCGTTGTATAAACAAGTGGCTGGGCAGACTGTAGTGAATTAAATTGGTCCGGCAACTGTGACATCTCCGCTCAATCAATTACACTGACCTAAGTATCTTCTTATATCACGCATTGGGTGAATGAACAGTAGACAGTGGTAGACAGCTATCAAACTATCAACATAGGGAACTGTAGTACCTATAGTGATATGCACTTAAGTGAGGTTCACTAGCAATTCTCTGGAATAAATTAGTTTCTCTATTTGCTAAGGAAAGTAAGACGATAAAAGCTTTCATCAAAGATTCATGACTGCCTTTTCTTCTCAGAGTTGCTTGTGGTAGTTGTGGTTCTACCAAAGTTAATTGCAAGACTTTCTGTGACATACCATCTTATGTTATTATAGGTACCTAATAGGAATTCCTGATAGGAGTATTAAGTCTGTAGATACTCATTCATGTGTTGCCTCCATAAAGCCATGCAATAGCATACATGAATGCCTATTTAAAATAGGATCATGAGTATGCATAACGTTTCTTGTTGTTTAGCTTTTATTTCCTTTGAACACATTGAAATTGTTAATGTAGTTAACATTGACGCGTGGGTACGTAATCACGTAACCACGCTAATTTTACCGTTGATGTTTAGAATAAGCCCTTCGCTATTCTCTAAGTAGTTTCGTAGAAAGTATTTTTTGTATGAAATAACAATGAGCGTGCGTAAAAAATGTTTTATGGCCAAAAAATCAAATTACAATCGGCGACTGTGTCGTGATAGTTGGTTACGGTGACTGAGCACGATCGCAGTCTGTTTTACACGTTTCCATTGCCACCAGTCCAACACTGCAATTCACGATAACGTGCATTCAAACGTTAATTTAGTCCTCTATATCGCACTGACATCTTTCGTATTATTTCTGTCGCATTGCTCGTTGTTATTCGCAATGTCATGTCACACAGTTTTGCCAAATTCTGGCCATCGACCGCCGCCGTGCCCTTTTCAAACCGCCTTCTGACACGCAAACCGAAATATGTAATATTACATTAAGCTTTATTGTTACGATGTACGACTAAAATAGATTGATTGTTATAATTATTTTACGTGCCTACTTACTTATATTTTTTGATGGTATAGCTGAATGTCACGATCGATTTCAGACAAAAAGTCTATACAATATTGAACTCATTTTCATATCTGGTTAAATAAACTGTCATCATCCAATTTACTTAAAGCACCTCCAGCAATAATGTGCTTGAAAAAAAAATTAAAGCTGGGACATGTTACCATTAGGTCTCCTAGTCTTTAATTACACTTATGTAATTTAATATCAGTTAAAAATGTTATCCGAATTGGCGGTTTGCCACAGGCGAAACATCTGTCGTGTGAAAGTATGGGACGGTCATGTTTATGTTTACACGATCGTAACCCAGTTACACAGAGCGATAATACGATACCCTTTTGTAAGACGGCGCCGAAATATCGTGAACCCAAACAGTCAATAGTTGACTGATTGACCCCCTTGAGCCATGCGTTACGAAATAAAAGAAATAAAAAACCGCTAATGTTCTTTCTAAAAAACATTAGCGGTTTGTTTAAACATCCAATACATTTAAAGTGTTTACTTTGGCTCATTAACTTGTTATGAATAGAAATAAGTGGTTTATAGTATACAAATATTGTTGGCTAACACCGCGTAGTAGATGTGTTAACTATGTAATCCTAATCACAGCGGGTAACTTCACTACGCACAACATAAATTTGTATGTACTTTGAAAATGAAGGCCATCATTTATTTTTTGTAGAAGATATCAAAAGATATCTGTTCTAGAGCGTGCCAGTAACATATTGGTTACTTGCTAACAAGTACTTAGCCATTAAACAATCGGAACCTAAAAGGTAGGTATCTGCTGCGTGACAATGACAGCACGACCTCAGATAGATAAGCTCTCACAATTAATATACAGACCTACCACGCAAACCGTCCAATAAGAAGGAATGAATAATGTTTTATTTTTAAATGTGATGTCATTTCATATCACTCTCATTTGCACTAAAGAGAGAAACTGTAATGTAGAGCTGAGAACAAAAATTAAGTGTGTGCATTAAGACTGTCTCTAGACTCACAACTTTCTCTTTACATATTTAAATCCCTATAGAATCTGTCTTTCAATTCACAATGCATTCATTTACAGCTTTATTGCGAGAAAAATAAACACGTATGTAATGTGTATTGAGTGTTGTATAACCTTCTTAATTAACCCATTCATCCTAAAACTTGACCTATGATGGGGTGCTAAAATACTTTTCACTAGTAAAAGTTATTGGAAGCATAATATAACCAAACTACTACAAAAAATACTAAGAATAAAAAGGTTGCAGATTCTGCCAGTAAGCCCTATAGGTAGTTACAATAATAATGAGCATCCGGCGCGCACGCAATCGCAATGCTTAGCGAACTTTTTACGATCCCGTTTGTCCACTGTTACTGAATGCTGTCAGGATGAGATCATTGCAAGAGTCATCTCATGGCATCTATTTTAATGCTATAACAGTTGGCATTGGTTGTGTCACCACGAGACGCCGGTGATGTAGGCGTTTAAATAAGTGGCCATGGCCCCGATTTGCTAAAACGCTGCTGCATTGATTGTTTGTTTGAGTTTTTTCTGTCTACCAATTCAAATGTTCCTCGAATCTGAATTTGCAGAATCTACATACGTACTACGAGTGCGTACCTATATCGTAGTAGACACGTTAGACTAACATTCGTATTTGTATTGTGAATTGGGATGATGATAGGGTATGAAAATTAAAAATCTAATTAGTCCGTGAGTTAGGTAATTAAAAAATATTAGACACGTATTTCTATTTTGTTGTATAATAAAACAATACTTAGATAAAACAAATCAAAGTTTAGCAGTGGGGGCAAAAACGTCATGTGTTCTATGTATAAAATGTACATAGAAGTGACGTCACGCGACATTTCAAATCAATGTATCGTCGAAAGTATTCGTTTCTGTAAGAAAATAAAAAATACGTATCTAATGATTTAAAATAATCTACCAGACGGACATTAAAATGAAAATTAATATGACCGCATGACAATAGAAAATGTACAAAACTGGGCATTCATTGTAGACATCACTTTTTTATTATTATAAAAGTAGTTCTTATTCGAGTAATAATTAGTACCTACAACAATTTCAAGTTAAGTTTACTAGATTGTATAGCGGTATCTCAAGTGGTAGTATCTAAGGAAACTATGTAATTTACATTCTAGTACTAAAAGAAAGTTTTAAGAAAATTTCATTTAAAAATGCACCATAATGGTTGGAAAACAGTCTCAATTATGTCTAACTAGTAACTTAAACTGTTAAACACCGCGAGGACACCGGTGACCGCAACCTATTGTTCTTTAATTGTGTCTATAATGACGGTAATCAAAGGGTTAATAGCATAGACTCTATTAACAACCAACTGTTATTAATGAAGGTGTCAATTTTGTTCCAGATCCAAGATGCCTGAATAGCTGATTTATTTAGAAAACAAACAGCAAATCCGCAAAAATGAAGCAACTCGTCAATAAGAACCTCATAACGCTTAAATGCGTTCTCTTCTGTTTCCTTTCTGGTAAGAATAATAAATCATTTAAGAATAAAATAAATAATGTCCTTTTTGAGAACGCGTTTTATTTACACTTGTTCAAAGTTTGTTACCCTACACACCCAACTCTAAATCTATAAACCCTTATTTTACACGATATAGTAGTTCGTAGCGTAGCGTAGCGCACTACGAACTGAGTGCTACGAACAATGCACTACGAAGTATGCGCTACGAACTACGCGCTACAAACTACGCGCTACGAGCAACAAACTACGCGCTACGAGCTACGACTAAAATTAGTAAGTGTAAAATTAGAGCTTATAGATTTTAAACTGGGCGTGAAGAGTTAGAAACATGAGATCTAAGAAAGAATATAATCCAATGTAAACTAATATTATAAATAGGGCTTATTTGTGTTTTTGTGTTATATTTGTAATGTTTTCACACAAAAAGTACTAGGCCAATTCCAAAAACTCTTTCACTATTAGAATTCTGCATCTTCTCTGAGTGACACAGACTAATTTATGTCTGTCAAATTGTATATTATATTAAAAAAAAACAGGATCTTCAATAAAATGCCCGTAGGTAACCCGACGTGTGAAAAAATTGGTATGACTATTTTAATATGAAATCTGTCAACGTGTTTGTTGCGAAAACCAAATATTTTTGGAATTTCTACTTGCCCTGATCAGGAAAAACATAAAAGCATACAACAGGTTTAAAGTTTGCTTCACAGAAACATCATCTTAAATCGTAAAGCGTTTCGTAGTACTAATAAATAAGGCACACATGTTTGCTCCTTTCTTGGGCAATGTAATAAGAACAAGATTGTCTCAGGTCTCAGTTGGCTCTATAAAAAGTAGTCCAAGACTTCAAGTCTTCGTGGTTAGGTAGCAGGAGGCTAATAATTCAAGCCGGTCAATGCAAGCTGCCTTCTAAGGAACGACGAATGCTACCTATCGAATGATTTAGGGACCGTTCACCTCGGACTTGCCACTGCATTGCGGCCAGTATGACCCATATGCTCCCACTTATTTCTTACAACTGCTTCATTCAGATGTTTGTAGCACGCAATGTATTACTTAAATGTTCCTTAGTAGCAGATTAATTAATAACTCGTCATGACTATTTCGTTAATTGCAGTATGTGTTCAATTAATTGGACCTCGTAAGACTCGAGTGTCTCTTTGCCAATGTTGAAGTAGGTACCTACATCTTTATCTAAGTAAATTTTTGCTTTATTTTCCTAGGTATTGGGTGCATCTTCCCTTTTCTGCCACTGCACATGCTGTCAGTGGGTCTAGACAAGGGAGAAGCCCGGTTGATATCAGCTGTCGCGCCATGTATTGCCTTGCTAGGTCCTGCCGTGTTGGGGCCTCTCATTGATAAGTAAGTATTATGGAGTTGTCATCTATTGTTCCCTATTTGGAAAACAAGGTTTGATCTACATTGTTGTGGTTATTGTCGACGTGAGAAAGTTTACAATAAACCAGCTTACAATGTCTTTGTCGTGACTAAAAACTTTTCTAGAATTGACAATTAGAGCTTCATTATGTTTTACCAAAATAATTGTCCGTTAAAACTTTCACATAACACCTGGACTGATTTCGATTTAATTGATATAAATATTCAACTAAAACTTTTTAGCTAGTAGGAGTAGGATATTAGAAAAATCGGTTCTATTTATATCATAATTCAATAATATCTTTGAAGAATTACACATTTTTTCTTTAATTATATTCTAAGGTGTGTAATTTGTATGCAGACTGTCAGTGGGTAGAGGGTCAACTGGCGGCGCCACCAACCCGAGTGGTTCCGGGCGGCTACTGCGAGTGATCACAGCTGCTTGCCTCATCCTCAGCGCTATATTCTACACACTCCTCCTTGCAGTACCTTATACGGAACGACATGAGGTATTCATACTAACATTATTGTTGATCAATAGCAATAATTGTTAAAATCATCATGGAAAGTATACATAAATATCATAGGTAACATTATATTTTAGTGACCTACAACAAAGTCATTTCGTCTTTATGTGGTCAGTACATGTGTAATATATAGGTACCTAATCCGCTGTACGTGGTAATTAGAAGGCTTCATCGAAAAATTTAAAGTGTTCGAAAATTCTACTTCGCTTACTATTATAGATAATAACCTACTAGCACTATTGATAGTAACCTACTAGCAGGTAGACCTGCTAGTAGCTGCTAGTAGGTTACTAGGTATCTCAAGGCTAAATTCATCTCTTCTACACTATATTTTTATAATTTCATTCTCTAACTATACGCAAAGCTTTCTCACACAAGTTTTGTCTAGATAAATAGAACCTGTCTCTCTACATTTTTTTGTTATCATTTTTTTTACATTGATTTATTTTCTAGTACGTTAAGTATAAGCCAGGTTTTAATCTCGACATAAATGTAACTGTATCCCGCAGGCTCGACGACCTGAAGTGCTCTTCATGTGCGACGAAGACAGTGCTTATGTCATGCAAGAAGTATGTAAGGAGGACATGCGCTGCAACCGGTGGTCTGGCGAAAAGGTCAGTAGTCTTGTCTAAAAGGGTCATAATTAAAATTGAATTCAAAGTTTACAAATATGAATTACAGTGAATATTTTGGAATCGAAAGGAGAAGATGCCATAATAATAAAAGTAGTATTTTGTATTTAATACTTAATCATTTGTGGTAAAATTTCAAAGTGCTTCTATTTGTGTTTTCTATTTCACGTTTATGTTCTTTGCAGTCAGGAGTGCTGGCTGTGACAGCATGTGAGTACGGGTGTGCAGACGAGAATATGACATGGGTGAAGCAGCCTTTCACCACCACATCCACCACCACCACGCTCAGCCCGATGTACCTCAGCGTCGCCAACGCTACGGTAAGTTAAATATGTTTTTACGATTTATTATCGAATCTCAAGTTAGGTATTTTTGATAACTACGAGAGATATAAAAATTAAGAGCAACATCTATCTGAAAAAATTAACTAATAATAATATGAGAAGTGATGTGCCCCTAACCGAAGGAATACTTATACTTAAATTACATTTGAGAACATTTAAAAAATACGTGAAATGAAAAAAAATAGCTACTACTGATGTACTTAAGTCGACTATTGGTGGATCAGTACCTAGATAGCATCACTATATCTCTAAAAAGATATTTTCATTTGAATTCATTCACAGATTTATTCTCATGTGGGGCTAAAATCGGTTTCCTTTACGATGACGACGATAATTTATTATGTTCAATTGTTCACCTTCACACTACAAAATATTCTATGCCTCCTCAATAATGCTGCTGTGTATTATTATTCGTCGAGCTTCTTCGCCATAGAATATGTAAAACTATGCAGAATATCAATAAGTCAATATCTTTTATGTACTACCTACCTTGTGCTGTTCCTCGCTATTTTCCGTACATATTCTTACCTAACATAAATATAAATAAATTTTATCCTTCTTACAGATATTGTCAATCTATTTTTGAAAAAGCCATACATCATGCATGTAAGGTTTTTTCAAATCTTCATATAACTTGTGCCTTATTAAAGTAGGTACGGCTGTTCCTACTTCATTTTGACTGCCCTTTTAAATAGACTTCTGCGCCAGAAGTCACCGAAGACGACGAAGTAAGACATGCGATGCCTTTCGAAGTGAACCCTCCCCACTTCTGCTACAACGGCCAGTGTCTGGTTTACATGCAGCATCAGGCGAGGCTTCGCGTGCCTTTATCTTTGATAGCACCAGAATTGCCTGAAGACAACAGCACATCAGACTCTGACTGGTGCACTTATCGAACAGGTAAACTACTTAATCAACTAATCACCCACTGTATCTGACGTATACTCAACGCTTTTAGTTATCAAGAGAAAACGACAAAAATCATGGAAACGCTGCTCTTGTATAGTATAGTAGTAGTTTTGTTTCTTTTTGCTACCTCTAGAATAAGTCGAATGCATACTTACTTATTGGACCAAATAATATGAACCCTTCAACAAAGTCAATGTATTACAATTGTTATGTACACTTTGTAGTTTACTTATTTTTACAGCAGTTCAGAGTTGAATTCCAAAAGAATTTTTTAAATACTTTTTACTTTTATTTTAGCGGGTCCTTCAAAGTGTCAGGTGCCTCCAAATCGTTTGGCAGAGGTCTCAGAAAGCGACGACTGCAGGCCAGCGGTGCGGTGCCAAGTTCTTGACCCTTACGATGAACCTGATGGTGTTTTAGCTGACGCTGAATGTCGACTCATCATTGGAGATCCCAGTTACACGTTCTGGACTTACTTAATTATTAGGTCAGTGAACAATAATTAAGATACATATCCAATAACCTGCCTATGTACCGAGTAGGCTAGTACTTTGTCTTTGACTCGTCATCGGCGTATGATTTTTAATTTTATTGGATTTCAACTTTTCAATTTTATATTACTTACATGAGCTCTTTGTAAGTTATAATGTATCAATTAGTAAGTCTATTTAATTTGCAAACACGACCATAAAAGTATGGAATGATGCTTTTTTATGTTTATTTAATCATGCTGATGTGATTAATGGAATTTTTGCTATCAATGACTCAAACCACGAACTAGTACCTACTAAGTATCATACCACTATGATGAAGTACCCATGCAGGGTTATAAATTATGATATTATCGACTATGTAAACAATCAGTTATTTCCGTTAATACCTACCTTAACTAAGAACCTACACATTGCGGTAGTTACGCGCCACATTAGAGGTAAATAAACTTTAAAAATAATAAAATAGACAAAACTGTAATATATTTTTTTTTATTGTATGTTTCAGAATATTATCGGACATCTGGCCAACAGCAGGATTAGCTCTCCTCGGGACTGCCTGTGTGATTGCTACCAGAGAAACGTCTTTGGGACGAGGTGATGTCGGTAGACAGTTGGCCTTCGGTACAATTGGGCTAGCCATCTTCCCCCCACTCGCTGGACTGGCCGCAGAACAAATGCCCGACACTCCATTCCTTATTCCATTTGTTCTACACGCTGTATTCATGTTTATCGGAGCGCTTATTCTACTCTTCGATAGGTGCGTAAACAGTAAACATACTCTTACTACTATGTCAAGGTTTTTAGCCGTTTACGACAGTTAAAATTAGATTGTTAAATGTATTGCGAATTTCAGGAGTATGCCAAGCACTAAACGATGTATTTACGCGATTTATGTGCTTATAGTCCATGTAGGTACCTCTACCTACCTACTTTTATAACTATGAATCACTAGTGAGTGAATGCCTTTGATGTGTAGGAAGTGGTGATTTGCTTCACTGCATCTTTTGAATGACTCATCTGTAGAATATAGTCAAATTGTATTATGCAAATTGCATGAGCATTTGATTATTATTCACACAGCAACAAATAACTAACTGTTCCTTATTAGGCGACACTGTAAATATAAAGCCTATCAGGAATATAGATCACTGTATGAAATAACGAGTTTTATTATGCAAACATGATTTAGCATTACCTACCTAAATATCATTTATATGCTTTACTGGTTACCTACTATTTGCTACGCCTACCTACTATTAACGATAGACGTCTCTATCTATAGGCTGATGTTAGTTTTTAGGTATAATCAGTTCCAAAAGAATAAGTACCTTTGGAGCCTAAACTCTCAGTGTCATATCGTGTAACATTTTCCATCAATTTCAGTCACATGCCCCTGTCTACCCCGGAGTGGTGGTGGCATACTGCCACTGGTGTATTAGCGATGCCAATGAATACGGTGCGTCGGTACGGGGCTGAAACAGCTGCAGTTTTCGCCGTGGTGGCGCTGCTAGGCACTTTATGGAGCGGCATCGATGCTTACTTGCCTTGGTAAGATAGTTAATTCGTGAGATAAAAATAACTATTTCAACCAGAGACTACGTTTTCAGCGAAAAATAGTTATCCAATTAGGCTATTACCTAGGTACTTGTATCTATAAAAGTTTGAGAAACTTAGGAACACAAATATGGCGTCGATCATTGGGGAAGCAGGTAACGGTTTTTTTTGGGAGTAGGGTTGCATACAAAAGGTGCATGCAAACTCTAGTGTGCGTGAACTCGCCTAAAGGGTCGCAAAATAGGACCCATAGACACAGCGGGTTTGAACAGTCGTTTTGCCATGGAAATCATAAACAATTTCGTCTATGAAGAGGGCCTGCTGTAAATAAAAATATAGATCGCACGATTTGACTCGTCTTTGGTGGTACTACTGTTTAAGTAGTTACCTACTCAAAGAGCACTAGGTCATGGTCAGTGGAATATTTATGTTTTATCGTAGGTATTTATTTAGGTAAATATTTGATCAAACAAAACTATTAAACAAATCAACAAAAATAGTAGTTAACAGAAATCTTCCAAACTATGTAGTTTGATATCGAGTGCCTCTAGGCAATCTTCCTACTAAGGAACGTAATAAAAATTACTATTATTTTCAGGACGGTACAGGAGCTGAATGGCACTGTAACAGAAATGGGTCTAACGCTAACAGCAGGAGCGCTACCAGCCGTGCCCGCCCTCTGGTGGGCAGAAGCACTTGTGGACTACATTGGCCATTCCAATGTCTTCATCATGGCATTTACTTTTTACGGCATAAGATATACTGGTAGGCATATTTATTAATATGTTGACGGAGCAAAATTATTATCAAAACTAGGAAACAGCATTTAATCAATTACCTATTGTTGCCATAATAGAATATCGGATAATTTTTCCTATCCGTTTTTTTTATTTGTATATTGATTCGCCATAAAACAAATTAATAAAGAAATAGAAATATTTTATTATTTAGAGCTGGTAAAATTCTTACAAAAAATAAAATAATTCTGATAGGAAAACCGTTATTTTGAAATTCTTATTTACACATTTTTTATAACTTCCAGGTTTGGCATATAGTACCGACTACACATGGGTGGTAGTGTGCGAGATATTGGAAGTGTTCACACTTAGTTTAGTGTGGGTGACCGCAGTGTTGTATTTCCGTCACCTGGTGCCGCGTAAATACACAGCTACCGGACAAGCTCTGCCGGTTATTGCTCATTTTTGTATCGGTACGTTTAATTTCTTTTTAAATTATTGTTTTTTGTTTTTATATTGTGTTAATATTTAATTTGAAGTGCATATTGTGTTGATATTTATAAATTATAATTATTTATTTTAACAATTTTCTTTGTTGTTTGTTTTCAACAGGTCGGTGCATAGGTGCCATTATCGGAGGCATGGTTTCCTTACAGCAGCCGTTGCAGGCGGTGCGGATGGTGTACAGGTCGATGGGAGTGGTGGCGCTGGTGGTGGCAGCTGTGTACCTCGGGCTCTATCACCTGCTCCTAGCCCCGCGCTGCGCCGCACCCGCTGTGTCGCCGCCACACCATCTCCTCCAAGGTAAGCAAAACTGCGTGTAAATGTCATCCATATAAGATTGTTATCTACAATATTATTGATGAACAGCTGACAATATATACGGTGCCAGATAACTTTATTTTTTTCTTGTTGAAATTTAACGTTACTGCCGATCCCAGTCTTTTTGTTTGTCCGTTGTAGCTCTTTGTGTACTCAACTCAATATGTGTGCTAATTTGTTTTATTTATTTCTAAAAGCTTCCTCTATAGATGGACAGCTTAACGCTAAAGGTATCTACATAATATTATTGGGTGATTTTATAGAAAAAAATGCCATTAAAACATTATCCTTGACTTAAATATCTTGATGTTTGAAATTTAATTTACCTAACCGTTAATAATATTGATGAAAGTGGGTTTCTGTGATGCAAAATGAGAGGGTAATGATTTGTTAAAGGAATTTTATTTTTTCTCTAAAAACACCCTATCTTCAAAAGCACCATAATAACAAATAAGTGGTTCTAATGTTGCACTACAGAGTAAATGCTTGTTTTAGTGGTTACGACATAGATCAGTAAAGTAATTGATTCGTATAAGTAATTATTAAGTAGACTCATAGTAACATGCGTTCATGAATGATTTTCAGGTTTAAATAGAACGAATGGAACAACGAATGGCACATACTCTCCTATGCGGGTGTACCACGAAGAACGTTCCAGAAAGGGTCACTTCCGTTATTGAGATTCAATAGTTGTAAAACAAGAAACCAATAAAGAAAAGTACATTCAGTACAGAACGATAATTTTACAAATCTGTATTTTGTAATCATAAAAATGTAATAAATACCTACTTCTTTATGTAAAAATGTAATTTAGGTATTTGAAAATACCGTAACTTGAATTCTTTGAAAATTAAATGCATTATGTCTATCAAGTCACAAATTAATCATGAAATGTTTGTCTGAAGGACATTATCATACCTAGAAGCAAATTTTATGTGTTATTCTATTAAATTGTCAATGCAATTTGAATCTCTTTATAGTGTTTATAATTCCTGTACCTAGCATAATGTAAGAGTGTCTGTCATAATAATAATAAATTAATAATGCCGTGTGTATTGTGCCTATGTATTTAAATTAAGTATAAAGTCTTTTTCGTCCCATATATCGAAGCTTTAAACGCCAACAACGGGAATACAGAGAGATTGCATGGTGCTTGTGTGAATGAACTTTTGACAAATAGTAAGTTGGTGTAGTAATGAGCCTTTCGCATTCACATAGCATATTAATGTTTGAGAAAGCGATGCATAATATTATGTTTTTTTAATTATTGTTAATTCTTCCAAATGCTGGTTGGCTCTATAAATTTTCGATTTATTTTCGAAAGTAGCAGCTAAATTCTCATAATTTCTAAGACTACATTTTATGATTTTTTATTTCATAATTTAGATTCTAGGCAATCACGAATTTTATACAAACAAAATTGTGATATTATTAAAGTGTTTTTGTCTCATCATATTTTGATATTGCTGTCAACATTTATTTATACTCAGTATCAAACACAAACTATTTGCATTCGTAATTTTGTATAAATAAATCTAAGTTTTTTTTAAAATAATAAAATGATGTCAATGCCTCGACTTTTTATTTTGAAGATTTATATTGTTTGATGAATGCGCAAACCTATTTTTAATCAAGTAGCAAAGAAAATCCTAGTTACAAAATCTAGGTAAATTAAATATAGACAACAAAATAAATAAAAACACTTTGATCTGAAATACAATGGCGCTGTATTTCTTATGTTAACAATTTACTTATACCGACAGACACATCAGATCAGAAGGCCTATCGACTATCACAATAACATTACATTAGCAAAAAAAAAAACAAAAAATACTCTAAATTTCTAAACGGCTTAACATCCATCGATACATTTGCCTGAGCCAGATTTGTATTTACATCACTTTTCAGTTCCCAAAAATAAGCGAGGAATTTATAACTAAATTCTATATAATATTATATAGCATAGTTCAAAAGTCAAATAAACTAATTATAGTTCCAATACTTAAAGGAATTACATGTTTACTAGTCACCTTGTCAGATATCACAAAGTTGATGAACTTAAATAATAAAACATACGCTCATAAACATACGAATAAGTATCTCCTAACGAGATTCAACTTTCGATGTTCGTTTAGAAGGATCAAATTCGTATTGTTACAGAATTGTTGTTGTTATAAACATTCCTATAAATATAAAGTTATATAAAAACTACACATTACTATCCTACATAACTATATCGTAAATCTATGTTTGGATAATTAATTTGAAAAAAATAGTAATTAACACGCTTGTAGCTAATAATTTCGAATAATATTTACTTACACAATTATTATTAAATTTGTTGTACACTATTACCACTTCTAAATTCAATGTACCTATTGTATTTAAGAAACATCCCAACAAAATTCGGGAATTGAGAACTATATTCGATTAATTTCTATTTGAATAAATAAAATAATCGATCCCTTAAATAAACCCAGAATATTTTGTAATGAATTGTTAGACGTGCATGCTATTTGTTAAATGTAATTCTGTGTAATAAAATCTAACTGCAGCATAAAAAGCATAAGAAATGCGGCATAAATTCAACCTATTATATGGAATTAATGATTTATATGAAGCGCGTTGCAAATAGCGATTGTTGAATCTTGTTTGGAATACTAATGACACAAAAATATAAACAAATTGGACAAACAAAAAAAATATACAAGTAACGATTATTTGAATTGTACCAATATTTTCAATTCAACATACTGCAATTCATGTATCGATATAATAATATATAGAGTTCTTAGTGAGACAAAAAAAAATATGTAATAACTGTTAAGACTGTTAAGCTAAGGCTTGACAATAGGTACCTGTTTATTTTACAAATGTAAAACCAATGTTTTAAAATGTATACTGTAATAGACATTAATCGGTGCACTATTAATTAGCCAGAGTACTGAATAATAGAACAAAAATTCCCTCAACAACACAAATACCTCTTACATTTGTGCCACAAACAGTAAACTAGTTATTCACTAACATATTGTATCAGTATTCAGATATACCTTAAAAAAAATGTACTACAATGACTTAGTTATTAGACATCAATATTATTATTAGTTGACAGACAATTAACAATTAGGTATAGTTTGAATAAATCTGTACTTAAACTAATAAACAAAATGCCAACGTAATTTTTTGGGGTTGCATTGCCATTAAGTGCTTTTACTTTTGTTTATATCGAACAAATATAATTTTAATAAAAAAATATATACACAACATTATAAGAAAATAAAGAGGAACAGTTGATATAATTTTCTTGACTTCTTGAATATTATTAGACAATAACAAGAATATATTTACACACTGCATCGCCTTAGTTTCTCAATAAGATTATATTCAATAATAACATGCGATATTTATGAGATGTGCACCATTTAGTTGGAGATAGTTCGGAATTATTCCTAAGGAGTCTGAACAATATTCAGATACGGTAAAATAGTATTCATATTAATATCTGGCGTTATTGACTGCATTACATTACTGTTCCTGTCAAATATATATTTGAATATTCAATAAGATATTCCTGTTGACAATATGATGTACATGCTTACATGCAATTCGACAACAGCACCCAATCTGTTTTAATTTGATTTTATATCCTATATTAATGTTAGAACTTTGTTTGAATTCGTTGAAAATCTAAAGTCTTTATAAACTGTTAACTGACTCTAACACTTTTGTACTATACAAAAAAGTGCCACATAGAAAAACGCACTCAAACTAAATTCCATCTTAATCCAATAACAATATTTCAATTCTATACAGAATTCGGTTATAGCTATGGTTCACTATTATAAGCAGCCAACTGAAAGAAATAATTACAATTGACTAAAAATTGTGGTTGATAACTGCTTAATGAATTTCAGATCCAAGATACGTTTAAAAATAACATATAATTTGATAATTAAAACAGTCCTCTATCACTTCTGTCCATTCAAATAATATACATTTCCCAAATAGTTTATAATTGTTTTGAATATCTACATTGACATCGGTTAACATGTTTAGAGAAGTATTAAAATTTTGACCAGTTTTTTTTATGTACTTATCCTACCTAGCTTATGCATTTAGTGTAATATAACTTATCTAAGATATAAAAAGTTATTTAGGTTTCTTCTAATATTTCTGAAGAATCTTCAGTTTTCAAACTGGTGCCCTGTTCATCTCCTACATCATCCTTCAACAATGTTTCAATCATCTCTTCACTCATTTCCGTATCATGCAGTCTATCATCACTATCTTGATTATCAGCCTTATCATTTAAATCATTATTATTTATACCACCATCCTTTTCTTCAGCTACCTTATTTAAATTCTTTTCATCTTCATCTTCATTTTGTAGACCATTCCTTTCATCAGATTTTTCTGTACATTCCAAACTGTTGCTGATCGGTGGTGTATCTTCTTTGTCTATATTGTCAGTTTTAATTGTGTCTGCATTGGAGTCAGTTTCTTCATCTATATCAATGTTATCTTTTTGATTTACTATCATTTCATTTTCTGTTTTCGTAACAGGAACATCAGTTACAGTACTACTTTGTTCTTGAATGACCTTTTCAGGTTCGTTTTCACTAATATCCATAGTGGCATTGTCTTGAACATTATTTTTTGTTTCATTTTCCTCTCTCAAGTCTTTTTCAGTGTCTTTAACTATGCCACTACTTAATCCATTATTGTTTGCACTGCTTTTTATGTTTATTGCATTTACTGGGACATCCACACAGTTATTTTTGTGACTTATAACTGCTAGTGCATCATTATGTTCAATAGGTTCATTGTCATTTAAAGGATCGGTTACACTTTTGGAAAAGTTATCACTTTTATTATTTTCTTCACTATCATTGTACTCACTACCAACACTTGTTAAATCTACCTCTTGATGTTCGGAGCCATTAATAGATTCGACAGAATTTTCGTCTATAAATATAGGATCATCATTAACTTCCATATCTGGTAATATTTCTACGTCATCGTCATCTTCACTATTACCACCTGACTTCCGTGTAAGATACTGTTTAAAACCCTTATTTAGATTTTCACGGATTTCAGTAAATCTACTAGATGACGTATTCAGCAACCTCTCTAAACTTCTATGAATAGTCCGCATTTCATCAACTGTTCGAGTACGTAAGAAGACAGTCGTAGCTTCTTTTTTCAATTTATTAAGTCTAGAGAGAGCATATTCCAAAGTATCAACTGCATCAACTAAATTGTATCTATACCATTCTACTGGAACATTTAAATCGCAACGTCTAGAAGATGGTTTATCGGGGGTTTTTATTTTGGAAATGGTAGCTTTTGGTGTGCTACGTTTTAAAATGCGAGGCACATTCCGGACTGCTTTGGGAGTCACTACGGGTGAAGGAGCGACCGAGCTAAGTTTAGCTGCGTATGTGGCGCCTTTCGATATCGTTTTACCAGTTGCTTCGGCGACTGCTACTATAGTAGCGGAATATCCGCCTGGCATAGCAGGATTTGAATTAATAGCAAATATGCGGCCATCCGGTAGGCGATACATCTTATTTGATGATAAAGTTTGAGGGTCCACACGGAATTTTAATCCACCTGTGGCTGTGTTTACGGTAACATCGTTATCAGTCATTTGAACAACATTATCTGATGTTACATCTGGTGGATTATTTAATGTGCGGGGTACTAAAGGAGGAGGGTTGCTTAGCTTTGGTGGAACAACAGGACCCGGCGTAATGCACTGGACATCATCATCATTGTCCTCAGTAACCTGTAACAAAAGGATGAATAAAATTTAAAAATCGTAAATATTAAAATAAGCCTATGTTGTTGTTAAGAAACTGTGATATTTAATAAATAATAATGTAAATACACTATTTCCACATTAATAAAATTTGAACAGCCTTATTAAAGGTTTCTAAATTCGTTCAGCAAAGTGAGAGTTACTTTAATTTTAAATGAACAAACGAAATATAATAAGCATTCGGTGCAAAATTGCCATACTATTATTTCTCGAACCATTAGGAGGTATAGATTAAATTTCACGTCATGTCTTTCAATACCAAACTTCACTAGAAGCAACCCTTACCTCACACAAAGGCTCCAGTGGAAAGTCTGGAGTGCATACAACGTCGTCGTCTTGTGAATTACCGCTTAAATTAGCCATATTTGTCATGTCTAATCCCTGTAATAGACCATAACTTGTTAAGTACAAAATTCATGACTTGTTAGGTATAAAATTAATGATTTATAAGTCCGTTTCACTTTTCGATACTTATTTAAAGTATCATGGCATATATCAGTGTAATGAAAATTTGTTACTTTTGCTTCAATTTAATCACTATTTCTGTGTACTGTGACTAATATGTTTTAATGCAGAGGAATTGATGTGTGAATATAATCCAGAAGGTAGAAACCAAAGAGCTACTTTGTACAATTCTTATATACTTGAAAACCATGGCCATTAACTGAATACACATTAGTTAAAATTATTGTTACTACTAATAAAATAAACCCATACCTGAGTTAGATTTTCCAATGATAAATTAATATTATCAGCAGTGTAGATAGTTGGATTAAAACCATTGAAGTTGCCAATCACTGCTTGAGGTGTTTTAGGCTTAATGCGAGTATAGGTAAACGGCTTGTTCCGGTCATTTATGACTCGTATAGCACTGTTCACTAATAATGGAGGCAACTGTAACAAATAATTTTTCTCAATTACACGGTAATAAACAAAAACAAATATTACAGAGAACAATTGATATTTCTAGCTTACACTTCCATTAAATTATTTAATCATTTATTAGCTTCTACCAGGGGTTCCGCCCACATCCCCGTGGGTTAAAAGTAGCCTATATGTTATTTCAGATCATAATCTACCTGTTCCAAATTTCATCCTGGTCCCTGGTTGAGTATCAAACATACACATAAACTCACAAACTTTCGCATCTAAATATTAAATCTTAGAAATTTATAATTACAAAATAATTACATAATTATTGACCAGATACACAAATGTAAATAAAATCATTTTTTTATAAAAAATACTTATGAAATAAAATATTTTACCTTCACCCTTTTGGGAAGAGGTGACATACTAACGGAGTTCACTATCTTTGTATTTGGTGCAATATTTATTGGAGTTTTTACTAAAACTGCTTTGTTTTTGGGACTTATAGATCTCTTTTGAGCCTTTTTTTCTTGCTTTACATCTTCCATATTTACAGAAGCAAATTTTTTGACCTAAAACAAAATAAATAAAATTAAACTTTACATAGAGAGAAAGCGGTGGACCATGGCTGATAATAAAATAAGAGAAATCTCAACATACCTGTATAGTTGGTGAAATTTTAGATATTATATTAGAAGTAGCCTTTGCATCTGTGTTTGACTTTACATCTGATTCCTTCTTGATTTCCTTCCGTTTTGTAGTTTCTGTTTTCTGATTTCTCTTTGATTTGTTTTTGCAACATTCAGAATAATCTACAGAGCAATCCTTTTTATATGCTTCTTTTAATTCTGGATCTTGAGCTTGGTGTGCCATTCTGTAATATATTACCATGTATAAATAACCACGATTAAAGTAAATGATTAAGATAAAAAAGCATAGAAACATTCAAGCTTTTAAGATAATAATATTACTTATTTTTGAGGTCACAGTAACGTAAAACTGCCCAGCATAGTGCACGGAGGTCCCACAGACATTTGTTATTGCATTTAAAACATTTCCAATCGTCTACATTTTCAATTTCTTTGGCTTTTGATACTCCAAAATTACGCTTGACACATTTCTGTAAAATAACATAATATAAACATTTTCTCCAAATGACTTAGGAGCCTGTGAGCTCCAGATCTTCATTATTTTATAAGAACTGGAACTTGGTCAACACTTGCACCCAATTCCATTAAAGTAAGATGGCCCAATTTGAAGTTAAAAATAAGACTAAGACAAATTAACTTAATGATACAGTCCATAGAAACCATTTGTGTGGGTGGCCAAAGGCTTACTGCCTATTACACAGGACTTGTATACATAGCTAGTAAAGAATTTGATATTCACTGCAGATTTAAATTAAGATTGTTATATATTGACATATAAAATCAAAATAGTTGTTACTTCACTCAGTCTGTTACTAAATTACAAACTTTACAATTTAATTGAAAGAAAATTTCGTACCGCACAAAACACATGAGGGCAGTCAGAACAACAATAAACTTGTCCACCTTGACCACACCATCTACAATACAGCTCAGAACCATCATCACCCTTCTCAAATTCTCCACTGTTGTAGAAAATGTGACAAGTATGGCAGACGAGAGTGCGAAGCATTGGATGAGCACGCATACGGGATTCATTGCGTGCTGCACATCCTAGATGACGATCACAAGCTGTACAATGTAATTTCATAGTCTTTAAAGAGTTGAGGTCTGAAATACAGAAAATTGATTGGTTAATAGATAATTTGTAAATTAATTAAATATATATATGTATATAAACAACAAGGTTGTTTACCTTTAAAAACCGTTTTGTAGTGACTTCTCTCTTCTTCCTCAATATCATCATCAAAGTCATCATCATTGGGATCTAGAATTCGAAGAATGACCAATGTTATGGCTCTGATAAATCCATTTTTAACAAAATTCCAAGTATATAATTAAGTTTCTAATACATACCTGGGAAAGGCGGGAATATTACACCGTCATTCGAAACCGGCTTCTCAGACTCTGAAGCTCCTTCACTGTTGGCAATTTCGCTCATTGTGAAAGTTGATATTCATTCACAGGTAAAACGTTCTAACTATTTTACTTATCTGTCAAGCACAAATAATATTTGGAAATGAATTCAGACATAAAAAATATCTTGAATTATTACTCAGGAAACACTAAATAAACTCAGATTTTTTAACAAATTGAAGTTAGGTTCGCCATCTTGAACGATCCTTTACTTCATTTTTTTTCTCAGTCTGTTTTGTTTTTAATAGTGATGTTCAGCTTGTGTCCGTATTACCATAGAGATTTTTAACTTTTGGCAGGCTTCGAAGACCCGCAATCTTTAATTTATTGCACTACTGATTGCAATATCAATAAAATAACAATGCGCTTAATAAGATGCAAATCTAAATATTCGATACATTATCACATGAAATTATTTGGGATAGACCTGTGTGTCGTGATGCGTCAGATTTCGGTTTCATTCATACATGTCATTTTATTACACAGACTGACACAGACCTACTATAATATGGTTCATTCATTCATGGCTGGACTGGATGGAACGAAATTATTTTGTTGTCTGTAGTGTTGTGAAGTTATTCAATCAAACCCATTCTCATTCTAATTCATTGTTTGTTAGTGTTTGCTAGTGTGGTGTAAAATTATGAAATAAAATAATAGTCTCACGGTGACTGATTAGTGAGAAGATAGTAGTTATAAGTTAGAAATCACCAATTAAAACATTTTGTCATTACATAGTTGTTGCTTAATTGGTATTAAGCATGAAATCTATAATATTTAATTAAGATTTCGCCTAATTATCAGAATAAATAATGGTGTGCTCAGTGAAAGTCGAACAATGATTTGTGAGTTTAAAACTTTTATAAAACAATATTGGCTGTGTTAATGAAAATTAAATAATTTCAACAAATCTGTTTCTGTGATATTTCTTCTAATAAATAAGTAAACATTAATTTAATATTCGAAACAAACAATGACTGTTACATACACCGGCGAGGTAGCAACTTGTCGTGGTTTCGGCACATTCCTAAAAGTTCTATACAAGTAAGTAAATTGTTGTTTTATGATTTAATTTTTGTAATTATCTTATAAGAATTATCTAAGCTATTGTTTTATAAAAATGCTACTCCCCGCGGCTTGACCCGCTGCTCGGCTCCTGATTATCGTAGCGTGATATTTTTCAAAGCCTTCCTGGATAAATGAATGGACTACCCAACTTAAAAATATTTTTCAAATCGAACCAGTAGTTTCGGAAATCAATGCGTTCAAATGAACCAACAAACTTCAACTTTATTATCTAATTATAAAGTATTTAGTAGATTTAAGTGAGTGCTTATAATGTCGTATCCTATTTCAATATTCAACTTATTATTGTTTGTAGATAAAACGTTATAAATTCAGAACTCTATTCAAGTTGTTGATGTCGTGGACGCATTTTTTTTAGTTTCTTCCGATCCCGACGAAGGGTAATAAATAATACCCGAGACTCTACTGTCCGCCCATCCGTCCGTCTGTCTGTCTGTCACGAGACGGCAGACCGTAGCCTGTATCTCATGAACGAGAAGTCGAGAATGTGATGGATAGCCAGATATTTGAATATTTCGTACCTATTCTGGCGATCTTACCCAAAACACAGCGAACAAGCTGATAAAACTGGAATGATTATTCGCATAAAAACATACGCAGAAAAATCGTAGTAACTTTTTACTTAAACGTAAAGTTTAATTAAAATTTTCAAATACGAAGTTCTTAAATCTTATCATACATTTTTCTTTTTAATTCATAACTACTGCCAGTGACTTCGTGCGCACATATCGGGAGTACTCTTTCCGTGGGAATTTACGGAAATCCCCTCTCAGTGCTCCCCTACCAATACCAATATACCAATATATATATACATGACAAGTTTCAGCTTCCTAAGTCCAGTAGTTTCGGTGGTGCGTTGTCGGACTATCGGTTAGTCAGTCACTCAGTAACGGAAGAGTTGTATGTACTTACTTTTTATATTTATTTATCGTCAGGTTGAACTAATTCGCAAAGTAATGAAAATCAGACCTAAATGGTCCTAAATAATACTTTGTAAATATTATATTTGAAAACTTCGAGCGGTGTATACTAAAAAATACTGTTGCTGAAATTGTGGATTTGCGTGCTCAGAAGACAGAAATGTTACGACTATATTGGTACTCAACATGGATTATTTATTTAGTAACAAGTAGTTAGTTTAGATAAGTATAATAATGTACGTAAACATATAGCCAAGAAAACAACAATTCACAGTAGCCTTCAATTCTCAAAAACACAGAAACCTATTCAGTAGCTTTCATTAAGTAAATAGAGTTGCATGAGAATATAATTATTATGTATTAGAACCATAAACAATATTAATCACGTCTAGAAAGAACAGAATTAATACGCATGCCCAGTAATAAAAAAAAAAACATTAATATCTATGACTAAAATATATAAGAATTAAATATTTACAACTTAAAAATAAATTAATACAGGAAGAAATTCCAATAGGAATAGGTGATACCTTTGTACTTTAATTTTATGTATGTATGTGTTGTCCTTTATGTTGTTTGTGTGCACCTATATTTTTACTAATATTATAAATCGGATAGTGAGTTTGTTTGTTTGTTTGTTCCGCTTTCACGCCGTAACTACTAAACCGATTGCTTTGAATTTTTGCAGACGTAAAGTTAGAAGTCTGGATTAAATAATAGGGTACATTTTATCGCGAAAAATTTGATATTCTCGAGGGAAAAAGAAATTATTGGTATAGATGGCGGTGTGTGTATTGGTATATGTCATATAGACTACTTTTTATCCTTTTGTGACGCGAGCGAAGCCGCGGGTAAAAGCTAGTATTATATAAAAAAAAACATAGAAAATAAAAAGAAGTCGCCTAGATATGAAGTAAGAAGTTACGTTTTCGACTCCTTTATGTATCTTGTCTTGACTCAAACTATGTATCAGAATTTCTTCTTCTGATTAAGTTAATAAGTAGATACCAAGACTATAGTACTGTGTACGATTTAGATTACTATCGTTACGTATTAATGGACAGCTGTATACTATAACAATAGTTTGGAGTCGTAAGTTAAGTAAGTAGATATTACTTAAAAAGGGAAACGACTCACATGAAAAAAACGTCGTCACGATGACAGCAATCTATATTTTTCCTTAAAACCTCAAAATTGCCATTATAGAACTAAAACTGATTCGTTTTATCCACCTAGATGGGTAACACTAACAATATGATTGATAAGAAGCTCATAAAATTTGAGCAATAAATTTTTATTTCGTCTTTCAGCACGTGCATGACTTATTAAGTAAGGCAAGTGTAAATATAATATGTCATTTACCCTGTAACGGTCATGTGGTTGTTTCATCAATGGAAACTGCCATGGTGTTTGCTTACTGAACGCTGACGCTCTGTTTACAATTATTTTGCGAGTACAAGATTTTTTATCAAGAACGTACTAATTAGCAAGCACTCACATATTTGTGAACGACTAGACATAAAGCAAAAGAGATAATAAAACTGAAATGTTAATATGTTTACACTTTACAGTCATTATTATTTCTTATCTGCCTAGAGACATTGCGCAACTCAATGCGAATGTCTTAATTACAGTGATGTGCTGTGTATGTTGATTGTATCATGAAGACCATGTGGGCCAATACCAAGGCTGAGTCATCACCAGATCAATCTTGCGTGCCTAGTACCTACACTCAAGTTTGCATTGTTAGTCATAAGAAAAACAAGATAAAGTTATGTTTACACAAAATTGGCCAACAATCCTTTTTTAGATGCAAGGTTTGAAGAAGTGCTAGATGCAAATGACAGGATTAAAGAAGTTTTCATAAGGTCGTCGCTCTTGCGGATCGATATATTGTCGCCACCGCTGCACATACTGACTTCAGTTCAGAACAACACGCACAGCACGACTTCGTTCCTTTTCTCACATATAGTGTAAAAATTAGATTATCAATTACGATTTTACTAGAAAACTTGAACTGACTTATGTTTCAGTTGTTGTTTAGTCTGTTACGCTCCGTTGCAAATGAGTAATGTTTGCTTTTGTATTATACATTTTGTCATGTGTTACATGAAAAAATCCCACTTTCATGACTGGCTCGATGAAGATTTGTGTTTGACTGGTAAATATACGAATTCAAGAAGGTGGGAATTGTCCGTCATTTTAGACTGCTTGATTTCATCATTTTGTATACGTTTGAAAAGTTCTTAGATAAAAGCAATCTTCCTGTACACGGTTATTTTCAGAGAATGATAAAAATATATCGCATATAGTTATTAGCGTTACTAAACATACGATTCTTTAGACGAATCTGTTAATAACTGCATTGTGTTAATCTGGTTTAATTTTGATATCATGTTAACTGGAAATTAGTACCCATTGTAACCACGGTACTTATTGCAGTTAACTAACTGTTTAAAATTATTTTTAATCTTAATTGAAAATCATATTTACTAAAGTATCCATCCATGTCTTGTCACAGACATTAGCATTAGATCATGTCGATAGTGTACTTAATTAGAAAAAACGTAACTAGTTATCGATAGTTCGTAAATCGTAGAATGAGATTACATTTATACGATCTTAAATGAATTAAGATTTTTTAAATGTAACATTGGTACTTTACTATAAATAAAACGTGTCCAGGTTTTCCGTGAATGAACGAAGAAAAGTATCTTTTCGAAGTAATCTATTTCGTCGGATTTTGTATAATTAGTTATGTTGCGTAATTTGCCAATAGTCTAGTCTGTCTGGTCGTGCAATGTAGGTGTCTATCTTTAATAAAAAGTAGGCATAGGTACTATTCATTGGCAATTGCCGTCGTCGGGCACCTCCTGTTGTGCATGCCAATCACCTCCCATCCATTTACAAACGCATCTAAGGAACATGCTAGTTAAAACATAGTTATTTAATACCTACGATATATTACAATGAATTTCAGCAATGGCTTAAAACTAGGACCCAGTGGCTATTGTACGGAAATAAAATATTTTTGTACTTAGTGAATAGCAGTCGTTTAGTAAACAAACTTGATGAATAATAAACATTTCCAATTAATAAATAACATACGGCATGTTATTTACTAACATATACATGATATCTCTAATTAAAATAAATAACTAGTTACCTAGTTATTAATTTATTTCCTTTGGGTTGTGTGACATTTAGCGTAACTCGACATCAATGTGCCAATTTATTTAAAATAATATGATTTAGAGTACAGTAGTAGTAGGCCTTTACAAACAAGGTCGATCTCAGAGGTTGCAGGAAAAATGTCGCGAGTAAAATATTTACCTGAAAGATTTTCCTCTTAAAATATTTTCCGATTCGTTTTTACCAATTGTTAACAGCGCCAGGTAGGTAGTTATTATAACTTTTTCATATGAGAAATCCAAGAAACAGAACATTTCAGACATGATGATCAAAAAGGAATTAGGTTTCAAACATACCTTATAGTAGGTGTTATATTTGTTGCATCATTTATTCATTTTAAGTTATGAATAGGTAATTTTGATGTGAAACAACATCAGCCTGCTGCAGTATTCAAAGCCCGATGGCTTTGAATACTGTCTACTTCTACGAATCTTTTGCAGAAAATGCTTAAAGCCTTTACCCTATTTAATAATTATTCATCATCCTCTCTATGCTTATGTTATTCCTTTATTATCACTTAAATAGTTAAAATAAACACAGAAAATGTAGGTAAGCCCAACCCTACCCCCTCTAAAGAAAACTTCACAAGTGTTCACGTACTAGTAATCCACAGCCCCTATGAAAGTGGCATTAAATTCTAGTAACTATCGAAGTTCCAACCGTTTCCGACGTATACGAAGAAATCAATTGCTATACAAAATGGTTTACTTCGTGGTTGCCAGGCAAGGGACATCTATTATTCAGTTGGGCCCACTGCACTTTCCAGCCCCACTTTTGTTACGTACATTGCACTTTATGCTTTCCACGGCTCCTCCACACACGCTTGGCATCGATCTTAACTAACTA